TTCAATTTCAATTTTTTGTATGTTTGCATCTCTCTCTCTCTCCCTTCCCAATCTGGTATGATCTTTTGGCTGAAAAACTAACAAAGAAATGATTAAAATCTTTGTCTGATTCTAAATCCAAAAATTTTATAGTTAGGTCATATCCGGTGGGTAGGATGGGTGTGAGTTATCACGGTCGTATACTATTTATTTTCTTAACTTCAATTTTTCTATATTTCCATACCTTCTTCCCCGTGTTGGTGCCAAAATGATGCATGCAACAACAGTATACTATGGATGAGGAGGCACAACGATGACGCACTTCATATTCCACATACTTGTGGATAGAACTTATCTGAAATTTGTTAATAGGTTTTGTGTTGATTTTGTCATTGGGTAGGAAAACTCAAAGGGTATGTTCTGGTAAATAGTGCTATATTCAGTTCCTTTTTACCATATAGTTTCCGGTGGCCAAACCAATTCTATACATGAGGCATTTTTTTAGCTTTATAATTTGTAATATTAATTCGATTTTCAATACAAAGTACCATCAGTTTAGTATGTTATTATACTTATCCACGCAATTTCAATTGATCTTTGATTATCTGCATTTGTCCTTCACGACTAATACGCAATTTATGAGACAATAAATTTCGAACAGCATATAGTAGGGGACGGATACAATCATTATGCTACGGATTTTAGTTTTTTTGATTAAATCTTCTAAACTTACTTGGGTCAAAGTCTCGAAGGAAAGCAGTGAGGCTGAAATTTTCAGTACTACAATTTCAGATTCAGTTTCTAATATTTAGAAAGCTAATTTGTTGTCTTATTTATCATATAAAAACTGTTTACTATTTTTTTTTTCAGATTTTATATTTGCTTAAACTACTTACTATTTTGAATTTTCAAAACTACTAATTTTTTTTTTTTTAGCTTTGGAAGATTTTGCACCTAAACTGATTCGGGTTGCAAGGTAAGTTCATACCATCCTATCTATTGTAAATAATGAAAATGACTTAGAATGATAATATATAGCAATAAAACTGAACTAACTTGAGTGTAGGGTTGCAAAAGAACTAACAAATTCCAAAACTTTTGCCCTTAAAGAGCTACTAGGAGCGTCTGCTTAATTTTTTGCCTTTTGGGACCAATGGGAAAGCGTTGTCAAACAAGAAGTCAGTTCGGAAGAGAAAAAACTTTCAACTTTTATTAAATTTTTCAACTGTTATTTAATTTTAGATCCCACTCACTGCTCCCTACGAAATCCAAACTAAGGTATGGGTATGGATATGGTACATTAGGTCATCAAACAAAAGTCCATTCAATTTACTGGTATTGAAAGTTTAAAGAAGTTGATCAAAAAAAAAAAAGTTTAAAGAAGAAAGAGGCTTATTGTGAAATAAATACAAAATTTCCAGGCTGTTTCAATGTATATTTTTTAGAATCAAACTAAAGTTGAAACTGCAGTGATTTGATTTCCTTTCATGCAATGTTTTCCTATGTTTCTCCAAAAGTTAAAAGGTAATATTATTGGGATCTAAAAATCTGATATAATTTGTTAACCTAATAATTTGATTTCATTGTAACTATTGAAGTGAATAATAAAATTACTCCAAAGAGTGTACCATGGATGTGGATAATAAAATTTATTTATTTTGTTCTTAAAGACCAGATTGAGATCCTAAGGTGCACAACATAAAAGGTGTTTCCAGCCAAAGATAATGAGTATATTCTAATTTGAACAAATTTAGATTTTCTTGATCTTAATAATGGACCCCAATAATACTAAACAAAAGATTGAACCTAAACTCACAAAAAAAAAAATTTAAAAATCATTCAATTTGAGGTTCAATTAACATGCACATGAATAAAAACACAATCTGAAATCGACAAGCAAACAATTTGTTAAAAACATTGAGAGTATATGGGAATTTAATTTTTTGGGTTAGAAAAATGCATGAGAATAGAATTATATTTTAATCTTTAACATATACTTTAATTCATAAATACATAAATGGAACTTAAAATAGTTCACATGCAACACACGTGTGTAACAACTAATGTATCCAAAACATTAAAAAGATTGAAGTTTTGAAGACTTGGAAAGGCTATATATAAAATGGATCACCTATACAATTCATAAATCCAATGACAATTTCACTGCTACAGTAATTCTAAAATTCATAGATGTTCATAGGATGTGAATGGCTCTGAACAGGGAAATTTAGACAACTACAATCTGCATTCCAGAAAATTTACATATTCACATCAAGATAGTTTTATCAATTAAAAATTCACATATACCAAAAACTATATGTGAATTCAAAAAAAAATATAGCAAAAACACACATTTACTAAATTTCTCCAAAAAACACAAGTGTATCAATATTGCCAGATTTGAGAATAGAACAAAAAATATTCGTAGAAATATAGAAAACCAACCCTTGCGTAATTCTAGCACTAATTCAAGCTTAGCATAAAAAGAAAGCTTAACTGTGAGATCACCACTATACACGAAAAAGCAATATACCTAATACAACAATGAACTTTTCAAAAAAATTATTGAAACCAAGGTGATGGGCCAAGCCCAAGGGCTTAGCTCAAATTATAAGTCTAGTTCGAGTTTATAGCTCATCTCTAAGAGATTCAACAAGTTCTGCTCAATAAAGTCAACTCGGACAAACTCATCAAGAATCAAAGAACTACATCAGCAGGGAGTATGCAAGGTCATCCAAGAGCCACCTTTATCATCTTGAAGTAAGGGTCATCCCAAGAGCCTCATCCATGGCGCACTGAAAGAAGTCAACCCTCACCTCATCTTTTGATCGAGTCTTATAGAGAGTATTTTAACTGACTTGCCCATTAAAAAGAGGTCGCCACCTCCCCTAGATCACCTATCTAATTACTATTAAGTCGCTCCCCAATTCGTTATGACTGCTAGACTAGATATGCAATTATTATGCATTATGTTATGAAGTGACTATAAATTGTAAGTCTCATCAACACTTGGGAGGCAAGACACTCATTCGAGATAATTCTCTCCTCACCCTCTCAAAACTTGTAACTTTTTGCTCTCCTTACACACCTTAGTTAATAAAATACCGGCAACCCTTACCATTCAAAGTAGATGTAGGTCACGTTGACTGAACCACTATAAGCCTTGTATTCTCTCTGCCTCTACGTATTTTACTGCATTTTATACTACTTACTTGACAGGTGGTGTGTAAACCAATTTGTGCATTATCAATTTGGCGTCGTCTGTGGGAACGAAAAAATTCTCACCTAAACATTTGCTTTGCTGAATCAAAGACGATCACTACCAGATCCATAAATCAACCTGAAGATAATTCGCCACGAGTTGCTCCTCCACCAACCAATACAGTCCCAAATTCGCAGTAGATGCTAGAGACCATGCAGTAGTTCGTGGCCCAAAACCAGCAGATCCTGCAACTCATCCTTGTCGGACAAGGAGGAACACAACTTGCTGGATCTCAAGCTAGAGGAGCTCCACGCCCTAGGATTCAAGGAGCTCCGGGCACCCCCTTGGGAGCCCCACACAAGGGAGCCCACCATGAAGGGCCTCCACCTCCTCCGCCAACTTTTTCTTCTCATGGTGGAGACCCACATTTCCAAGAAGATGAGGGCAAAAACTAAAGCGTGGAGCATGAGGGCCATTTCCACCACAATTACAAAGGAACTCCTAACCACTGGGACGAAAAAAATTAAAGAGGTGTAGAATCAGCTAGGCAACATTTTCAACGCCATGAAGGCACAAGGACTCGAAAACAGTTGATTACCTGGTAAGGCGAACTAACACACCCGTCATACCAGATGTGGCAAACTATCCGCATCCACAAAAGTTCAAAATGTCATCCGTCGAAACCTTTGATAGTACGAAGGACCCACCTAATCACCTTGAAACCTAAAAGACCTTAATGCAGTTGCACAACGTCCCCCGAAAAAATTATATGTAGAGCATTTCCAACTGCCTTGAAGGGATCAATGCGACAATGGTTTGCCAAACTCACTCCCGTCTCCATAGGCTCCTTCGCTAAACTAAGCAGATCCTTTATGGCACAATTCATTGGTGGATGCCGCCACCAGTAGCCTACCACCCATTTGCTCAGCATAAAACAAGATTGAGACTAGAGTCTAAGGAGTTACCTCACTCATTTTAACAAGGAAGTCCTCTAAATCGAGGAGTCACCATGAGCTAGACCTACCTCTACACTGCTCTCAAGTGGGCAGCCTATCTCTAACTTAGCGACTCTCTCATGGGTCATCAAAAAAGCTTGGCCTATCTCTGCTTTGTTTTCAAGCAGACAACTTATTTTCAGCTTAGCGGCTCTCTCACGGGTCGTCAAAAAAGCTTGACCTATCTCTGCTCTACTTTCAAGTAGACAGCCTATCTCTAGCTTAGCGGCTCTCTCACGAGTCATCAAAAGAGCTTAGCCTATCTCTGCTCTACTCTTAAGCAAGCAGCCTATCTCCATCTTAACAACTCTCTTGTGAGTTGCCAAAAAAAGCTTGGTCTACCTCTGTTTTATTCTCAAGCAGGCAGCCCATATCTCTAGCTTATTGACTCTCTCACGATCGCCAAAAGCTCAATCTCAAGGGGCACAACTCTCTCACGAGCAACCTCAAACTCTGTTTTTGTTCTCGTGCAAGCAGCTTGCCTCTCTTTTCAAATAATCATGTTAAATATTTTAATGGCTAGAATAACATTATTTTTGCCATCTCTATGCAGGATCTTGAAATTCAGGCCATCTTAGACAACATTAGATTGAATGTCAACAATCGGGCCTCAACTTTTTTGTGTCCATCCAACACTGTCGCCTCGTTGTCACAACTCTCTAGTGCTTATGGCAAATAGCGCCAACACACAACATCTGGGGCGTCCTTCTGAATGCCGTAGGTGCTTCACAAACTCTGTCGACCGCCTGAGACATCTTAGCGAGCACCGTGGGAGTCTTAGCAGTTTGAACTACTCACCTGGCCGAATGGACTGCACGCCTGCACTAGCCTAGATAGCTTGCTCGCCCCAACCTCAACACCTCCACTACGCCAACAACGGGCAGACCCAACACTCCTTTCGCACAAACAACTAGCTCGCCTAGCAACTGAACCGCCTCCTCGATTCCCGCCTGGGCTTCCTCCCCCACTTCGCCCACACATGCACTCGGAGCCTTAGCCGTATGCCCAACCGAGCTCACCCAAGCATGGGCGCCCACCATGCCACCTACCATAATAGAGCTCACCCACAAGGGGCCTCCATCCGTACAAGCATGGGGGGCCCTCTATGCCACCTGCTTTAGTAGAGCTCGCTCACCGAGACCTTTGCTCAATGGAGCTCGCCAGGTCCTAGGCTCGCCCTTGGCACCTTGCCCCACAAATCGAATTCAAATCTGAGAGCCTCTTGCCTAAGCTCCCCAAATTAGTCCACAAAGGATGCCCAAAGCCTCATGCTCACCCAAGCTCCCCAAATTAGCACCCAAAGGATGCCTAAAGCCCTATGCTCGCCTAACCTCGCCCAAAATTGTGCACCCAGCTCCCTGCTTGCTATTTTGACCGTAACTTTCGCTCTGTTACTCCAAATAGGGCCCATAATTTATCAAATCGAAGCTCTCGGCGAGCCCTACAAGATATATAGCCTTTGGCTATGAGTAATGCTGTTGAAATCCCAAAAAAGGCCTAGAAGAACATGTTTTGGCCTCCTAAAGTTTTTCCAATTATGTCTGTCAACTGAAAATTCAAACTCAAAACTGAATGTCCTCCTTTCCAAGTTCCGTTACACTCAAGGCATTGGGGGCCACCTGATGGGCCAAGCCCAAGGGCCTAACTCAAATTATAAGTCTGGTCTGAGTTTATAGTCCATCTCCAAGAGATCCAGCAAGTCCAGCTCAATGTGGTCAACCTAGACAAGCTCATCAAGAATCAATGAGCTACATTAGCAGGGAGTATGCAAGGTCCTCCAAGAGCCACCTCTACCACCTTGGAGTAAGGGTCATCTTAAGAGCTTTATCCAAACCAACTTGGAAGAGGTCAACCCTCACCTTATCCTTTGACCGAGTTTTATAGAGAGTATTGTAACTGACTCGCCCTTTGAGAATAGGTCACCTCCTCCGCCAGATCAGCTATTTAATTACTATTAAATCGTCCCCAATACGTTATAACCGCTAAACTAGCTATGCAATCACTATGTGTTATGTTATGAGGCGACTATAAATTGTAAGTCTCGCCAACACTTGGGGGGCAAGACACTCATTCGAGATAATTCTCTCCTCACTCTCTCAAAGCTTATAACTTTTTGCTCTCCTTACACACCTGAGTAAATAAAATACCGGCGACCCTTGCCGTTTAAAGTGGATGTAGGTTACGTTGACCGAACCATTATAAACCTTGTCTTCTCTCTCCCTCTACTTATTTTATACTACTTATTTGATAGGTGATATGCAAACCAATTTGTGCATCATCAAAAGGAACTCTTGCAATCTACTAAGATCCAAACCAAATATAAAATCATGAAAGACCAACCCTGATAATTTCCGAAACATAACCAACCTATCAATTGCTCGATGTCCAACTCAATATACCAAGGACATAATAACCATAAATATTTTACTAAAAAAAACATCATAACAACTACCAAGTCAGTCTGACCAAACACAACATACTACAAAAGTTTCAAAATATTCGTAATAGAATATTCAAAAGTTTCAATATACCATCACAGGACGAATTCTGATTTTTCAAGCTAATGCTCATAAAATGAAAAGTTATTCAAAGAAAAGAAACTCCGAATATGGGGAGAGCAAGGGAGAAGTATGGAGAGAAAAAGTAAAAAAGTGCAGTGCAACATCGATTGATTGAAGACAAATAATGAGCTTCTTTAAGTGCGTACAAGCCAAAAAAGAAGAAAGGCCACCACTTGACTAATGAGTAGGGGAAACAATTAGTAACTTCCCGAACGCTTACAACCCAAGAAGTGGCCCTCAACCAAAATAATAATGGAGTTACTAGGAGAAAACATCAGTGTAACAAATATATCAAACACAAAAAAACTCACAAAAATAATCATTAAAAATGTGAAAAAGAAACCCACATACATGCTTGTGCGTGCAAGATCCTGCACAATATAAAAAATGAGAACAGATCTTTCCCTTGGTGAACTCGAGTGAGCCGGTTGAGTGACCAAACACGCTGCTTGGAATAGCCTGCGAGGTCCGGTGGTAACCTGGAACGGCAATGGGAGACCCTGGGAACGGAAGAACGATCCAGTAAGGCCGAAAAAGGTTCCTGGAACAAAGAAGAACAAGTTAGAAGGGCGCTGTAGTGTTTTTCGGCGTATCCCCTCCGACGATCTAGTCAGTCTTTGAGAGAGAGAGAGGAAGGAGAAAACACTGAGTGTGTATTATAATAAAGAGTTTTTTGTTGCATACCCGTCTTGCCATTTGCAAGGAGTATTTATACCTCAAAAGCTCATGATTGCTGTCAGTGTAGTCAGTAGATGATCATTAGGTACAGGCAGTGTGTGCACTGATTCTGATGAGGAATGTCTTCTCTTCTTAACTGTTCGGGGTCTCGAACAATCAATGCTGGGTCATCGGGATGCCGACGGTACAATGTACTCCTCTCGGGGAGGATGCAATAAATGCTCTGTATTATGAGCATTTATTGTCTTTCATTTCCGAACCTTACCGCATTGAATGCGGTCTCATCAAGGGAATGGTGTAATTAATAGTTTGCTTTCCCAAAGTCGCGTGTCAGCAACGACATGCGGTTTCTCTGTCTTCGATGTGATATCATATGCCACGCGTCCATCCCTTATTGGCTGTGACCCCTGCATTCTAGTACGTTCTGACACTAATTGTATAAGACGAGGTCATGATGAATAGCCTAGACTAGCCTAGGCTAATGACCTGTACGTCAATAGCTCATCCTGGAGTAGAGGAGGCGTCTAGGACGGGGTACACCTCGGCACCGAGGAGAGGCTGATCTCGGAACCGAGGAAGGGGATACCGACCGAGGTACCATATCAGACCGAGCCCACGTGTCGGTTGTAAAACATACTGAATGCATGATCCTATATGACGAGTACCTCGGGGGCGAGGACCTTTGTGCGCCGATGGTGCTTGATCTTAGCAACAGTGTTTTAGTAACACCGAGAACACGTGTCTTCATTATAGGGTATTTCAGAAAAGTCCCATCAATGCTTTTTTAATAATCATTTCAAAAAGAAAATTTTTATTGGCAATGCACTACCCAGTTCAAAATTTTGAACTTACCGACTTTTGTTTCTTTCCGTGCGTTCCCACAGTAAGTCCTCCTTTTGCCAATGATGAAGATGTACTACACCCAAAATGAAATTTTTTTGTGTGCAAAAAAAAAAATTCATAAAAGGAGGGGGGACATTGACCTCGTACACTATAACACAAACGAATTGCTTCATAGCAATTACAAAGAAAGTGAGCTTGAAATCTTATAGATAAAATTACAACAAAAAAAATAACCAATAGGCTTACAAAATGGTGGGTCTGTATACCCAATAAAGTCTTCCATGAATGCTCTCCACTGTGTACTTAAAACAAACCAAGAAATAATTCCATTGTGGAGAATCTAATGATGGAAAATCCCACTAAAACCCTTGTATGTGGAAGAAATAATTCTTCTTTGCCCAAAGTCCAAGAAAGTCATCATCTTCTTAAAAAAAAAAAATGTGCACATACCGAGTCTTCTTCACCTTTCGAAAGCCATGGCCAGAGAGAAATTTCAAAGAGGGGGAAAAAAGGAAGGGGCGGGGATGTCTTGGTGGTTTGAGGAGAGGAGGAAGGTAGTTAGGGGCAGAGGGAGGCATGGCCTGGGTGGGCAAGTGCCCCTCAAAAAAAAAAAAAAAATTATTAGTTAGGTATATGCATTATATATTTATATAATATATTATTTGTGTCCTTCCAAAATCTAAGATATAAATATTAATCAATAAATTTAAAAAATTAAGCTCATTTAAAACAAAAAAATTTGAACCCATGATTTAAAAAAATTATAAAATAACTTCATTATGTTCAAAACATATTCAAATATGTCTAAAACGCGTCTAAAAGTAAACAATAAGTATTAAATACGCCCTTCGAACCTGTGCTGCTCTCTTTGCTGAGTTTGAATATGTTTTGAAAATAATAAGGTTATTTTATAATTTTTTTAAATTATAAAATTATTTCGTTATTATATAAAAATATATGTCGTTATTTACTAAATTATAGGATCATAAATGACAGATTGTTATCATGATTATCTATATATATATATATATATATATATATATATATATAATATTGTTGATATGAATGATTTATAACTCTTTCAAATAATAAAAACATGTCAATGCCAATTGTAAGTGACAATAATTAGTCTCATTCTTGATAAAAAATATTGTTGATATGATTGGTTTATAATTCTTTCAAATAATAAAAACATGTCAAGGTCAATGGTGAATAACAATAATTAGTCTCATTCTTGATAAAAAATTTTAATTATTTTTTTTTTGTCCATGTTATGCATATCGATTTTTAATCTTTAATATTTATTGAACTTTTAAGTATTAAATAGAATTTCAATAACTATGAACTATGGCCAATTAAAAAAAAATTAAACATACTAGTGTGTCCACCCTAAAAACAAATTATGCCGGAGGTTAGATCGCTGTTGATATAATCTGGATGAAGGAGAGTAGGTGGCTGGAATAGATCTCCAAATTGGGTCGTTCGTCATTGAAGTGGGTCTGTTTATCATTGGAGCGGATGAATAAAGAGAGCGACAAAGATAAGGGGTGAGGAAAGACTGAGATGGGCAGCAACATAAAGAGAAGAGGAGGTTGTGGTTGGGGGCGAGAAATTAGGGCCAGAGAAAATAGAGGAGAGATATTTGCAGGAGAGAGTAAATTGGGAAAAGGAAATAGCGGAATTTGGGATTTTTGAAAAGGGTTTTGAAAGGGTTGTCGGTGGCCGTTAAATGATTTTATTTGAGATCATCAGATGAATTTATTGAAACTGCCTCTATTTTATATTAATGATTAAAGAAAAAAATTAATTTGATAAAATAAAATATTAAAGTAATGTAACTGAATATTAATTTGATAAATGGTTTAACTATGAGCCTTAATGTCCATACCTTGAAATCTTGCCTTTAACCTCCTTTGATGGCAAAGTAAAAACGCTGCTAGTCTACACTATGGTACCATACATGGCTCGAAACATACATGAACAACTATAGCCGAAACTTTTAATGACACTTAATTTTCACTCAATAATCATAAACTTAAAATGAATTAACCATCAAATAATGAAATGAAAGACATGAAAATTTATTCTTTGAACAAGATATATG